GGAAGGAAGGAAGGAAGGAAGGAAGGAAGGAAGGAAGGAAGGAAGGAAGGAAGGAAGGAAGGAAGGAAGGAAAAAAACAAAACAGAAAAAAGGCGTTCTATATAAAAGTCAATACTGATCAAATGTCAAGTAGATTTCTAAACCTATCTTAAGAAAAAAAATTAATGATCCATTACAAAATATCATAAAAACTATGCCACAAAATACATATTGAATTGTTTTTTGATTAGTAGGTGAAATTGCCTTTTCAAAAACAGGTAAGTCACATATCGCTTGAATCGAATCCTTAATATCAGGAATATTACTACTTTTCCATAAAATTACATTTTATTGTTAGTATTGTTGTAGACATCTATACTTTTTCTTTCATCAATTAGATGAAAGCAATGAAATATTAGTTGAAGCTAATAAAATAACGGCAAGGTGGTGGTGAAAGGGGCAAAAGTGTTTACAGATAGTCCTCGCTTAGCGACCACATGTTCAGTGATTGTTCAAAGTTACAATAGCACTCAACGAGGGGGACTTATGGCTGGTCCTCAAAGTTGCAGCCATCGTAGTGTCCACATGGTCACATGATCACAATCGGGGCATTTGACAATCAGCTCATAATTATGATGGTTACAGCATTTTGTGGTCACATGATCACCATTTGTGACTTTCACTGCAGGCTTTCCACAAGCAAATTCAATTGGGAAGCCAGCAGGAGGTCATAAGTTGCTCCCACAAGTTGCTCCTGCTACTTTTTCTCCCACGCAGACCCCAGGTAGCATGGGGATCTCGTACTCCATAATGGCTGCCCACCTGTACTCTGCAGTGCCCACCCACCCACCTCTCCTCTGTAGCGCCTGCCCATAGCACCCACCCATCCATCTGTAGCTCTCACCCGCTGGCCTGCTTGCCTGGGACACAGTCTCAGCAGCATAAGCAAGCACCTCTTTCCATATCACAGTCACATGAGGTCCTCACTTAATAACCCATTGTCCCCTCTTAACTATGGCAATGGGGGCTGCCTGGATTGAATTGCTGTCACTAAGCAATGCAGTCATGTGACATCATGCTTTACGACCATATCACTTAGCAATGGAAATTCCAGTCCCAACTGCCATCATAACCCAAGGACTATTTGTACATGTCAAGGAATTAGTTGTTCATGTTGTTTAGATGGGATTTTGATTCCTTGAAAATGAGGGTATCATGATGTAACACTTGGATATATGGATGGAGGCCCAAGAATGTTGATACTTTTGAGTGCCTTTTCCCAGGTCAGATTCGTCCTCCAGCTATGACTGTTTGCAGATATATCTGTGCCTCCTGGTTGAACTAATGCAGTCTTTTTCATGCTGGACAGCTTCCAGGTAGCATTAAAACTGAGGACTAGAAACCTAAGTCCTATGAAAAGAAACTGAATAATTTGCATAAGTTTACCCATGAAAAGAGAAGATTGAGGGAAGGGTATGATAGCAGTCTTCAAATACCTGAAAGGATGTCACTCAGAAGAACAGTGATATCTGTTCTGTCTTGTTCCAGAATGCAGGATAGTGAATAATGGATTTAAGTTACAGGAAGGCAGATTCAGATGGTGTTTTAGGAAAAAATTCCTACCAGCAGCAGCATTGGCATATATCCAGTGAAGGAGAAACCATCACCTCTCTGGGTAATTGTTCCTCTGTCCAAATACTCTTAATTGTTAGGACACTGTTCCTAAGATTGGCCTTCTTGTAACTTAAATCCATGCATTCATGTTCTGCAAGCTGAAATAATTGAAAACAGGTCTTGATCTTCTTTTGTGTGACATCTTCTCAGGTAATTGAAGAATACTAACTGGTCATCTGTCTTCTGTTCTCCAGTCCTAGCATTCCTAGTATCTTCCATCTCTTCTCATCAGACTTAATTTCTAGCTTCTTGATGATCTTCCTTGCCTTTCTCTTAACTAGCTCTTACCAGTATCTGTCATATCTTCCCTCTGCCTCCTCTTCTCAAGAAGAGAAATATACTAATACCTTCTAACTCTCTTCATAGGACTAGTCCCCTGATCGTCCTCATTGCTCTTCTCTGAACCTTATCCCATCTTCTTTAAAGTATAGTGCCCAGAACTGGACACAGGACTCAACAAAATGTCTGCCCCAAAACAGAAAAAGTAGAACTATTACTTTCCACCAATTGGGAAATAATTCTGTTAATGCAGTCTAAAATTACATTAGCGAT